ATGGGAACTACGGTTTTGTTTTTTATGTAATAAGTATTACAAAAATGTTCGGTATGCTTTTCAAATATATTTGTATTCAAATTATATTTGGTGAAAATTGTCCGCCACTAGGTACCATATAGATAGGTATAGGTACACATATATTTATTTTAACAGTAAAAATACTCATTATCCCGAAAAGTATTAACGATTTATTATAAATGTAAATATAATAAATAGTTATATGGTTAAAAACATATGATACTTACACACAATCTGTAAATTTAATATTTATAATTATAAGCACATGGCGTGTGGTTATAATGTACAGACTACAACTGATATGATTTGAATAGAAAAATCACCCAATAGTGACACTTTATAAATTGATTAGACTAAATATTTTTTTTATTAAAATGTCGAGTGAGTTAATATTAAAATCTTGCACCACATTTAGCATCTAGAAGGATTGACTCGTATAGTGAGAACCGCAGGGGCGAGATCGGATACTAAACGGGATTTGATTTTGATGGGCGTAAACGAAAAAGTTTATACAATGAAAAAAATGCAAGCAAACAACTTGAAATATCTAATAAATTATTAAATATATTTAACGTCTATTTTTAGTTATTCAATCCGCGGGTCAGCTAGTAATGTAGATTATAAAATATAAAATTATATAATTAAATGCTTGCCAGTAGCGATTTGTATGTCTCTCTGTGTGCCTTTGTATAACTGTATTATTAGGTGTTTTTGAAATATTAATCCCCTCATCGTCGCCATCTATATAATTATACATACACACACACATACTTATAATATACCCAATGTACTAATAATTATTAATGATCGAGCAACGTTGGTGGGTTCGTAAAACTAAATAGTAAATACGATACATTGGTCACACCCCCTGTCATACTATATGGATTGTTTACATGTGTGTGTGTGTGTGTGTGTGTGTGTGCCATATAAGTATATGTACGTGCGTACCTATGTATTTATTGAATAAAGTAGTAAGTATAAATTATATCGAGACACGTATAAAATTATCGATTTAATCTGCGTGTCAAAAAAATTAGGCCCCACACAATGAATATTAATTGTATTATTTATTCGTCAATCGTACTCACTATACAACGAAATTATTATAACATAATGTGACTGTGGAGGTATCCATGAAAACTAACTTTTCGTTTATCAAAAATAATATTACGGAAGGTACCTACTTACTATTAGTTCAGCGTTTAAATGTTGTACTCGAGCGTTTCATCATGGCGTATAAACGAGTGCGTGGTACGATATTTTGTAGAATTACAAATGTCTTATTGACGAGAATCGAAAAGCACCGAAAAATAAATTTGGCTCAGTTGAAGCGGATATTGTGCTTGGAGTTCGGTAATAATTACTTTCGCAAACAGAATCACTTGAACATACTATTGAATGTCATTGAATATTTATTGTACACAAAGAGAATTTCCATAAGTCCTGCCCCAAAAGAACAAAATAATTGTATGGAAACAGAAATCGCAGTCAATAATAATCATAATGGAACGATAATATATAGTGAGTTTATCATATTATTTTTCATACCCAACAAATATCCATCGTAGATAATAATGATCTATTTAGTCAGTAATAAATATAACATTACGAGGTACCTACCTATACGTAATATTATTATGTCGAACAGTGGAGTAAGCAGGATTTTTCAATGGGAAGAGGGGTGATTGAAAATTAAATTTTACAACTTCAACTACTCAACTCTCTAGTAGAAAATATGCTCTGATCATAAACTTTGGTCTAGGCTTTTGGAAGCAAATTGGATCTAGTTGGTACTTTTAGAAAGTTCAAATTGAAAATTCTCAGTATTTTTTAAAATAATTGGGGAAAACATTAATTAATTAATTAAAATTTGTTAAAATTATTTGGTAACTGTTAGACCGTCTTTGTTTGGATTGTAGGTATTTGATTAATTTTAGTTTTTTTTTCTAAAATTTTCAATAAAAAATTATTCATTCAGTCAAAAAGCTTAAAATGTGAAAGACGTGAAACATAATTTTTTATTATATCTAAAATATTAACGATACATAAGCATGATTATTTTTTATATGTATTTAAAGTTCAAATTTTAACAAAACCACAGTTAATTTGTAGTTGAAACTTATAAAATATTAAATTTGTATAGCTAATTCTTGAAAACTCAATGGGTACATAGGTCTTTCATACGACTAATAAAAATAATAAAAGTAGTTCATACAATTAAAAACAAATTACTGATAATTTTAGGAAAAATGGTATGCAAATACAATGTTTTTGCAAAAATGAATTCATTCTGGTAAGATGTATATGAATGTACTTATGTACGTCTTACTTACTAGTAGACAACAGTAAGACAACTAGTAGACACAGAAACTTGATAAATATTTTTTTTTAAGTAAAAATAATAAGGCAAGAATTCAGCTCGTTAACCCGCCCCTCATAATTAGGTACAATTTTTCATAATAAAAAAACACCAAACTGACCAAACGATATATTTTATATAATACATATTTATAACCTTGATACAAAAGTAATGGATAAATGTGCAAAATTGTGTATCATATTTGTCTAGGTATTCGAAAACAATTTATTTTTTACCTACCTATTATATAGTTTGTGCTCTAGAAAAAAAACTAAAACTCTTGATTACCACTATAATCAAAAGTGAATAGTCATAATGCTGATAAATTGACAGTTTTGTATTAATACCTACTTGTTCAAAGTTATATAATTTTTTTATTGATGCCTTGGAACTTTATTATTTAAACAACCCGGTCTTTAAACATATGCTTAACAATTATATATATTTCACAAATTAGATATAAACAAAAATATTTTACATTTCTAAAATATTTATAATTATAAATTTGTTTTGCGAATTATAAAGACTTTGTTACCAACGATTTGTTATCTAAGTTCAAAGATACCTTTTTTTCGAATTCGTCAAATGTTTTGGCTCAAAATATCTGTGCTAAAAATGACCCGTTTCAAGTATCATTGTCAAGAAATAGATTTCAAGACCAAATGTCTTCTTCTAGTTATTTTTCTAAAAAAGTAATTAACGAACAAAGTATAATATGGCAGCATATAATACAATAATAAATTACAGCATTACTTATATTTGTTTAAATTAGATTAGAGGTTGCGGATATCCGATAGGAGATCAAAAATATTCTGGCCGTTGTTGGATTTTCGCCTGTTTGAACGTAATACGGGTTCCGTTTATGAAACAATATAATCTTTCACAATTTGAATTCAGCCAGGCTCACTTGTTTTTCTGGGATAAGGTACCAAATACACATGTTTCTAACAAGTTAGAAATTAATATGAATATTATTATAAATTTTATGTACGAGTACCGATTTAGTTGACAAATTCAAAATGTTCATGAATTTGAAAAAATTAGTTTAAAAACAAAAACAGATTTTTAAATTGTTACCATTTAAAATACATAAGTATATTTTTTAAGATTGAGCGATGCAACTTTTTTCTAAACGCAATAGTGTCAACTGCTAAAGATGGTCACACTTTAGACTCCAGAACAGTCATGCATATACTAAAAGTAAGAAAAGATTAATATAATAGTTTACTGTAAGATTACGCCATCGTAGTTTTCGTAAAAAATAATAAAATAATATTATTTATTTTTATTTGTACATTTAATATAAATTAAGTATTAAATAATGTTGTTCAGCCAGTTTTTAATTTTTAAAAACCATTTCTCTATTGACTTGTATATTGTTAAGAATATAAAATTAAACATGAGTAACAAATAAAAATACGCTTTATTTTCATATTATAATATTCAAAAGTAACAAATTTTAAGGAGTTTTATATAGGCAATTTTATGAAGGGTTTATTAATTCTTATCCATGCAAAACAGGCAAACAGCAGAGTGAATATTTTGTTTCCAATACAAAATATACTTACGAAATTATCGCTCATCAATAAAACAAATAATATTTCTATAATTAAACTAACCTACTAAGTTTTTTTATGAAAACCACTGATTTACTTATTTATACTTATTATACAACAAAATCTGTGATTATTTTATAGAATCCTATTGAAGACGGTGGCTACTGGAATATGGCAGTAAATATTATCGAAAAATATGGTGTAATGCCAAAGCTTTGTTTTCCAGAAAGTTTTAATAGCGAAAATAGTAAAGAGCTTAATAGCATTTTGAACAGTAAAGCAAGTTTAAAAATTTTATAAATATTTTCTAGTATTTAATATAGTACTAACCTATTAAATCATTAAAATAATATAAACTATAGTTACGAAACGTGTAACCGTTACAATACGTATTAATCCCACACGTATATTATTTTATCAAACGTAAAAAGTTATAACTAACTATCTACAAAATATAGGCATTATATTATGATATAATATTCAATATTACTTAAGAGTTCAAGTTAAAAATTTTTGTTATTTGGTTGAAACTCAAAAATGATTAACTGTAGATACTTGATACATTCCACTAAAGACATAAATTATAATTTAGAGAAAAAGAATTTTTGGAGAAAAAAAAATGTTAAAAACAAATTGGGAAAAGTGTCTCCCTGCCCTACTCAATGAAGAGTTACACTCAAACCCTACTATACAGTAGAGCTACTTCCCGGTGTTTTCATGATTTCTTTAATCCTTACTACGAGATAAACGATTTATTATGTTTTATAAGGTTGGGATTATTTGTTAAGTTGGAGTTATAATCAGGGATGTCACTTTAAGGAAGGGTAAGCTGGGCCTTAGCGATTAGGTTGTTTGTTGGAGCCCTGCATTTTAGGAACTAATATGTTATGGATAATTAAAGGGACGGTACAGCACTTAGAATGATAAAATAAAGTTAATAAAAAATGTTATAAAAATAACAAATAACAAATCGACCACTCAACTATTCAAGTCTTAGTGCTTTACATTCATAATATGTATTATACATTATATAGCTCCGAGAATTTGCCATTGTTTTACATGACATGGTGACCAATAACGACACGAATAGTAATATTTCTGACCAGATCGAAAAGGATATGTGCATTGTGTTCCGTATCGTTGGAGTATGTTTGGGCATTCCCAACCAGACCTTCAAGTGGTATTATCGCTTAAGTTCTAATGAACCCTTATTGTACCAAAGCTTTACGCCGCTTGAGTTCTACAACTCAATGGTCCGCCCGGTTATTCGCCTTGAAGACAAGGTAATTATTACCTATTAGTTTTATTCCACAAGCTCGGGTATTTTTATACTTTATAAGTACCAATAACTACTGCATATATTATATACATTATGCTTGCGTCTCAAAACTTGCAAAAATCTTTTCTTTCTCCGTCACAGGTCTCTTTGATATCCGACCCGAGAGCCAACAGGGAATTTGGCCGGTTGTACACGTTTGATTTGGTTGGGAACGTTGAGGACGGCACTAAAATCATACGTAACAATCAACCAATTGAAGTACTGCTGGAAGCATGCAAACAATCGATCGCCGAACTTGACGAACCGGTTTGGTACAGTTGTGAAGTGTTCCAGAGATTTTCAAACGAACTTGGGCTCGAAGACTTAAAAATGTATGCTGTACCTATTGTGAATTTCTGCTACTTATATTAAATGTACTAGGTATAATGACTATATTATAGCATTATATTATAATATTATTTAGACATGACATAGAATCATTGTTCGGCACTGACATATCAATTCCAATGACCAAAAGTGAACGGATTTTATACCACGAATCATACCCAACGCACGCAATGGTATTGACTGGATTCCACGAAGAAGTAATTTTATATTAACTCAACTTATTTATAATACAATGAAACCTCTCTTAACGAACACCTCTGAATAGCTGACTTTTTTCGGGAATAAACTACAATCTGAATCCGCTGATTAGCGAACAACATTTTAGCGACCGAGAGTGTCCGGTATTAGAGGTTTCACTGTCAACAATTTATTTATTTATTTTTTAATAAATTTCATGCATGTACTATTAAAATAAAAAAACATTACATAAAATATTGTAAAATGAAACGTCACCATCATATCAATATAATATCTACCTTAAATATACAATAATATGAACAACAACTCTATATTATTATTTCAGAACGATGAAGTTACACGGTGGCTCGTTGAAAATTCTTGGGGTAAACGTAATGTGAACACGAATGGGTTCATAACGATGACCACTGAATGGTTTAAAGAATACGTTTTTGAAGTCATTGTTGACAAAAGAATACTGCCAAAATGTGTTCTGGACGTATTTAGCCAGGAACCAATAGTATTGCCAGTTTGGGATAAACTTGCATCTCGTATTTGTTGATGAACTAATATTATGACTGTTTAAACATGCTCAATTTTAATCAGTTTGCCTTTCTATTATAATATTTACTGGGCATTGTATTATTGTACCTGTTGGGCTACAGTATCTATTAATTATTAAATAAGCATTTATCGTTTGTTTAATGATAATCAGCTATTATTGAAAAACTGAGTCCTTTTTCATTTTTGATACAACTTAACAACAAATTGGGATACATTATGCAATATATGTATCTACATAATGTATCCATTAAGCGTAATATCACACCAAAATATTACTTAACCAATTTTAGATTCTGAGCGGAGCGATGAATGTATTGGTTTTACAATGATGTATGTTTTTTTTTATTTATATTTTTATTTATATTTTTGTGTCTGTCATCACGTTTTGGGACAGTAAAAGTGCTTCGATTTTCTTCAATAGTACCTTTTCTGATAGGAAAGTGAATCTAGTTGGTACTTTGGGGGGTCAAAAGTAAACATTTTCCAGTAGTTTTCACAAGCGCCGGGAAAAAACAACATAAAAATTAAGGAAAAACGGGAATTTTTACGCAAAATCGATTTTCCAAAAAATCGAATTTGGTTTTTGGTGTAACTTTAAAACAAATGACCGTAGATACATGAAATTTTCACTGGTTGTTTATATTTGCATTTTCTATACACGATAACATTTTCAAAATATTTTGATTTATTTGGAACTGTTTAGGGACATTTTCATTTTTCATTTTTTTTTAGTTTTTTTTCTAGAAATATCAATAAAATTTTATTTGTTGGTTGCGAAAGCTTGAAAATTTAATAGAAGGCTCCTAATATGTTGTTTCAAAGGCAGATGAAAAATATTAAAAATCCTTAGTCACAATTTTTTTTTATAAGCATTTAAAGTTCAAAAAAGAAGAAAAACAAAACTATATCAATTATAAAAAGGTGGGCAAGTGGGTGTCGCTCTGCTGTACAGTAGGTTACAAGTGGGTCACTGTTTAATGGATGGTATTAAATTTGAATTCAATGATCTAATATCATTGTATAAGAAAAACGATTCTGAGCGGTGACGGTATGTCAGTCTAGTATTAGACATATTATATACATATCTATGGTATTAAACAAAAAATTGACCTATAATATGTACCTATAATAAATTCCAAATTAATCATATCACAATATCCATTAGATACTTATAACGCGTTATACATCAACAAAAACCGTGATACTACCATAGATATATAATAGTACACTTTAGAAGTTTCAAGTACCCACGAATAATATTATTCAATCACAACAAAATAACTAAAATAGTTATTCTAGGTTTTTTAATATGTAATTTCGTCCAAATTTGAAATTAAAATGTCTGTAAAAAATAAGTGTGTTTATATATTTTTTAGATTTTTTTGTTACAGTATGAATTATTTAAGAGAATCTTTGTTTTAAATTTTCAACTCTTAGTTATAAAAACTGAACATTTTATAATTTTTTAATTCCAACGATTGATTATTTTCTAGATTTTGATAAATTTTGTCAAAATTCCAACTTTAAATGCTTATAAAAAAAAATCGTGCTTATGTATTTTTAAAATTTTTCAACTGATATTGTAACAATATATAAGAAAGCTTGTATTAAATTTTCAGACTTTTTGGCAAACCAAATAAAATTTTATTGACAATTATAAAAAAAAAAACTAAAAAAATTGAAAACTGAAAATGTCCCTAAACAGCTCAAAAAGAGTCAAAATATTTTCAAAATTGTATGGTGTATAGAAAATGCTAATTTAAACATTCAGTGAAATTTTCATGTATCTACAGTTATTCGTTTTTGAATTACAACAAAATAAGGAAATCGCTACATGAGAAATCGAGTGAAAATCCAATGTTGTAAAAATTTGAATTTCAAACGCTCATAAAAATTTAATTTGACTGTCCGGTAGAGATTTTTTTATTGATAAAGGTAGATAATCTTATAAGGAATCTTGTGTTTCATTTTCAAATCTTAGATTTAAAAAGAAAAATTTTTACGAATTCTTAACTCAAAATAATTTGCTAATTTTTGTGATTTTTCCATATTTTGTCAATTTTTGAACTTTAAATGCTTATAAAAAAAAATTGTGACTAAGGATTTTTAATATTTTTCATCTGCCTTTGAAACAACGTATTAGGAGCCTTCTATTAAATTTTCAAGCTTTCGCAACCAACAAATAAAATTTTATTGATATTTCTAGAAAAAAAACTAAAAAAAAATGAAAAATGAAAATGTACCTAAACAGTTCAAAATAAATCAAAATATTTTGAAAATGTTATCGTGTATAGAAAATGCAAATATAAACAACCAGTGAAAATTTCATGTATCTACGGTCATTTGTTTTAAAGTTACACCAATAACCAAATTCGATTTTTTGGAAAATCGATTTTGCGTAAAAATTCCCGTTTTTCCTTAATTTTTATGTTGTTTTTCCCGGCGCTTGTGAAAACTACTGGAAAATGTTTACTTTTGACCCCCCAAAGTACCAACTAGATTCACTTTCCTATCAGAAAAGGTACTATTGAAGAAAATCGAAGCACTTTTACTGTCCCAAAACGTGATGACAGACACAAAAATATAAATAAAAATATAAAAATATAAAAATATAAAAATATAAAAACATACATCATTGTAAAACCAATACATTCATCGCTCCGCTCAGAATCTAAAATTGACAAAATATGGAAAAATCACGAAAATTAGCAAATTATTTTGAGTTAAGAATTCGTAAAAATTTTTCTTTTTAAATCTAAGATTTGAAAATGAAACACAAGATTCCTTATAAGATTATCTACTTTTATCAATAAAAAAATCTCTACCGGACAGTCAAATTAAATTTTTATGAGCGTTTGAAATTCAAATTTTTACAACATTGGATTTTCACTCGATTTCTCATGTAGCGATTTCCTTATTTTGTTGTAATTCAAAAACGAATAACTGTAGATACATGAAAATTTCACTGAATGTTTATATTAGCATTTCCTATACACCATACAATTTTGAAAAGATTTTGACTCTTTTTGAGCTGTTTATGGACATTTACAGCTTTCAATTTTTTTTAGTTTTTTTTTCTATAAATATCAATAAAGTTTTATCTGTTGGGCCAAAAAGTGTAAAAATTTAATACAAGGCTCCTGATATATTGTTACAATATCAGTTGAAAAATATTAAAAATACATAGGCACGATTTTTTTTTATAAGCATTTAAAGTTGGAATTTTGACAAAATTTATCAAAATCTCAAAAATTATCAATCGTTGGAATTAAAAAATTATAAAATGTTCAGTTTTTATAACTAAGAGTTGAAAATTTAAAACAAATATTCTCTTAAATAATTCATACTGTAACCAAAAAATCTAAAAAATATATAAACACACTTATTTTTTACAGACATTTGAATTTCAAATTTAGACAAAATTTCATATTTAAACCAAGAATTACGATTTTAGTTATTTTGTTGTGATTGAATAATATTATTCGTGGGTACTTGAAACTTCTAAAGTGTACTATTATATATCTATGACAGTATCACGGTTTTTGTTGATGTATAACGCGTTATAACTGTTATAAGTATCTAATGGATATTGTGATATGATTAATTTGGAATTTATTATAGGTCATTTTTTTGTTTAATACCATAGATATGTATATAATATGTCTTATACATAGACTGACATACCGTCACCGCTCAGAATCGTTTTTCTTATACAATGATATTATATCATTGAATTCAAATTTAATACCATCCATTATACAGTGACCCACTTGTAACCTACAGTACAGCAGAGCGACACCCACTTGCCCACCTTTTTTACTTTAATAATACAATTAACTTATAGTATGATCTCTTATTTATTTATGAAAATACATATTTTGTTTAACATTATTATTGAACAACAATAACAAAAAAACCTAACACTATACTTCTTTCATAAGACTACACCCATAGGCCATATGACATAATATATACTTAAATAGTTATCTGAATAACTCTTCTCTTTTTTACAATATATCATTTAAGATAAATCTTTTAGAAGTATAATACTAAGTACCTATAATATAATAATGTAACGTCATTATGTTTTGCAAATACACAAAATTTCAAATTTTTTCTATAATATAGAATGAATAAGTACCTAAGTACGTATAAAATTCAACTGTTGCTTAAAAAATTAACACAAAAGTTTGATAATTATTGTATCATTTTACCAATGTAATTTTAATAAATAGTTTACAATTTATTAAAATATTATGATTAGAGAGTAGGTTTATTAATATTTAGTAGGTGTTTCAATTCAATGTAATAATTAAATACATTTTTAATTTTCCTAAAATGTAGAGAGGGTCTAGAACATAACAATTTACTAAATAATATATCTTATATAGCTCCTCTGGAATAAAAATTAAAACTCCATCAAATGAACAATATAACTGCAAATGCAGTAAGTATACCAATATAGTATAAAATAGGCATGATTAAAATAAATGGTCAACCGGACCAATTGAAACTATTTTTTTTTTCTTTAGGGACAACGAAAACTGGATGCCGCGTGAACGACACCGTTAATAAGGCCAAATGTGCATGCGTATAATAATATAAAAAGAGTACAGATCAAATGAATCACCAGCACCCTCAATTACGTTTTATTATCGCCCCCTCCGGGTCGTTGTTTTTCTCATTGTATTCTAATTAAGATTTTATTATCAGGCTTGGATATTTCAGCACCGTGGGTTCTTACATACACCCTATATAATAATATTATGTACGTCACGAGTTTAAGAATGAGAGAAACTTCGAACATTGATATTCAAAAGTTGAACTCACCAAGTTTTATATAATATAGGTAACCTGCTCGTTTATACGAGTAACAGACAAATGAACCGAAGCCGTTGGTAACGTTACTGTAAACCATTAATGTACCCGGATGGTTAAAACTGCTATTATGGAATACATCACTTATTCTTCGTGTATATATTATATAGTAGGTTACCT